AAATCTGCCTTTGTGCGTCACAATGGATTGACCATATGCCGTGACATGTGGCACAAAGGACTCCTCCTTACTTTTTCTTCCTCTTTCCTTACCTGGGTGGCCTACCATTAATCTGAACCCACTTCTAGGGTTCAAATAACAATTAATTACACCATGACCATACACCTCATTAATTCACTAATCACACTCATTAGGTTAATTAATCACACTTAAATTTCCTAGATATTACATCTTGAGTCTCTTGAGTGGTTGTGTGGGCTAATGTCATTTTAGTTGGGTTTTGGACACTTTGAAATTTGAAAAATGCGAGAAAATAGTAGTTTTAACGTCCAACATTTTGATATGATAGAATTTAAAAAATGAGACCAATGCCATTAGCTAGTTTACTAAATGAACTTTTCATAGACACCTAGATCACAACAATTAAATATCAGGTAGAGATTTCAAGCTTATTAGAAGTTTGGCCAAAAAAGCTATTATGACAGTATGTTGCTATCATGAAATATGCATTTTATGCTGTAGCTTAAAATGTGTGTGCCATGGCATATTGCCAAAAATACTTAAGTATACTTGTTATGCCATATGCCGCGATGTACTATGCCAGATATGCTATTTTGGATTTTTTAACCCTAATTTGATTTGTCATCTTATCTTGTATAATTTTCATGTTTCATATTATTTAAATACTTTACTTTTTTTCAATCAAGTTTTGAGCTCAAACATATTTTAAAAAGAGTTTATTGGGATCCTAAACTTTTTGAAATGTTTTCTAAATATGATTTAAGTTTAACCCTTTCTATTATGGTAATCTAAGCTAGAAATTTGTCCAATCTTAATTACCATAATAGTGTATTTTATGTTTTTAGTAATGCCAAGAAAGACATTACATATGCCTTACAACAAACTTTGCTAAATTATGATAGTCATAAAATTATAGCAACTCATTTTATATGACATATAACAAGTTTGGATTAAGTTAAGTACTTACCAATAAGGTTAACATTACCCTAATTAGGAGTGTTCACGAGACGGGACGACATCAGGATACCCTTGTCCCATGTCCTGTCTCGACAAAAAGATCGGGATTAAATTTTTGTCCCGTGTCTCGTCCTGTCTCGAAAGTCATCCCATCCTGTTAGGAATCGAGACATCTAGCGGCCCTGATAAATTGAACAATGTCGGAGAAAGATCTAGATAATAACATTCATTAAAATTTTAAATTATATAATTTATTAATTTTAAAATAAAAACAATACAAGTATATAAATCACAATAATTTAAAGTCAACTATTAAATTACATTAATCATAACTACACATTATAATAGCAATTACAAGTGATCTCTAGGTTATAAGAGCAGTGACAATAGGCAAGCCAAGCATAACATCAAACCATTATTCTTCTACTTTAGTTGTAATGTGCTTAACTAATTACTCTTTCGAAAATAAAACAAGAAATGTAATATAAATAAAAGTTATTAAATAGATAGATATAAAAATAAATTATATTAATATAATTAATATATTATAAAGAAAGATATCACCTAGCTTGCTCTATATCATTCAAATTATTAATATAAAAAACTTTAATCTTATATAAGAATTGCAAGTATTGAAATTATAATTGATATAATTAATATAAGTATAAATTATATTAATATAATTAATATATTTAATGTGTATTTTTACAATAAAATAATAATATATATAATATTTGAGACAGGATGGGATGTCCTGATGGTAATTCTTATCTCATCTTGATTATTTTCAAGTCGTGACAAGACCCGTCCTGATATGATCGAAACGATACCGAATCAATCAGGACAGGTATGAGTTGAACATTCCTAACCTCAATAGCTTTCTGATTGTGGGTGCCGTGGGTGCACAAGAGGATCCATATGTACTTCTAAATTAGAGGTAAGCAAAATATTGCCTAATAAAATAACAAACTCGTTCAAAACAGCTGATGGTATCAATTAAGACTATCAAATGAAGAAAAAAGAATAAAATCTCTAAATCAACTAAATATTTCTTCCATACCTTGTCGATTGCTCTAAGTTAGCTAAATATACCGACATTTATTCTTGATATCATTATGGTAACATAGAATAATGAGAAAAACCAGTCACGTCCACACATTTTATTGGATTAAAAAGATGCACTTGCTCATTTTATAAAGGGTTGAACTAACGATATTCTAGAGATTAATGACTTTAGAAATTATTTAACAATTTGTTTAATATATTATTCCTTTCATTTCTATTTATAAAAGAAATTATTATTTTTAACTTATTTTTTTATATAATTAAAATCACATTTTTCAATAAGTTTTGATTGCATACTTTCTAAATTACCCTTTATAATTTTATTATTCATAGTCATAAGAAATAATTAATGAAGGTTTGATTAATGCAAATAATAAAGGATATTGTAGTCTAACTCTTTTATTTTCAGACACAATTAATATAATTAACCATTTTCTTAAATTGTGCAATATAGTTTTCTCTCTTACAAATAGAAACAAAGGAAGTATTGTTCAAAACTCTTTTTAATATCAAATCTGAAGAGTGAAGAGAGATCTATGACTAGCGTACATGCTCTTAAATTGCATTAAAGGCAGGCACAGGTAGAGCCAAGAAGCACGTGAACACACTATAAAAAAATAGACTTTTGGTGGCGACTTAGTTTTTAGCAGTGACTTTTTGCCATTAAAAGATTGTCGCCAATAGTTTTTGACGACGACGAAGGTTTTTGGCTGCTAAAAGTATTTTTGGTGGTAACAAATATCACCGCTAAAAATACTTTTAGTGGCCATATTTGTCACCACCAAATTTTTTTTAAGAAATAATATTTTATTTTATACCATGTCACTTTGTCACGTGTGCATAATCTTCAACCTTGACCTCTCCCACCTCCAAGCCTTAAGTTTTTTTTCTTTACCAGTTGAACTGAAATGCATCTGCAGTTATTATATATAAAATTAAATATATGTCATGTAACTGCATACACATATATCAAATAATATATGATTAAAAAGATATACATATATTATATCTTATTTCAATTATTAATATGACAAAATGATTTATATGAATATTTAAATTATAATTTTAATAAAATATTATTTTTACTAGTAAATATTATTTTTGTTAGGAAGATGAACTTAAAATAAATAATTTTTAAATATTAAATAACTTTTTTCTTCTCCATATTTTTTTCAAAAATTGATAAACTAAATAATTAAATTTTTATCTTCTTTCAAAATAGCTAAATGTTTCCCCCTCTTTTATTAAAAATATATTTTTTTGATAATTTTTTAATATCTTAAAAATTATTTTAACAAATTAATTTTAACCATATAAATTTTGTTAATAGTTATTTTGAACAATTTTTAAAATGAATACTAATAACTTTTACAATATACGATAATTACAAGAAATCTCATACGTAATCAATTTAATTAACATCTAATCATCTTCAGCCTTATAGCAAGGTGGATTTGAATAGTTATTTATATTGTTTTTAGTAATAATTAGTTATAAAAATGTTATTAGTAACTTTTTTTTATAACAATAAAAACCTAAATATACTAGGAGGAATTACATGGAATCCTTGTCCAAACGCTATTAAAGCTCAGTAGAAGAAGTAGGCATTATATGCATATCATGCTAAGCATCAAGTGCGCAATATGCCAAGTAATCTACAATATCATTTGTATCTTGTGACATTTGTACAATTTTAACATCCCAATGACATTTATGTATTTGTATGTAAGTAATAATTTATGTATAACTTAACCTAATTATAATTAAAAGTAATAATCCATCAAGATTTTAATTTATCATATTAAAATACTATCTTAATAACATAATTCTTAAAAAAAATGAGCTATATATGTCTAAAAAAAGATGATGAATAATACAAAATTAAAAATAATTTAATAATTAAACTTAGCACTTCTTGACTATTATTTTTTTTTTTCATGATCCTATATATTATTTAATTTAAAATTATATTTAATTTTTTAAAAATACTTTTGGCGGCGACAAATGTCGTGACCAAAAGTGAATTATATAAATTATTTTTTTATAAAAATATTTTTATTGATGACAAATATCACTGTCAAAAGCCTTTGTAATTGCTAAAAGTCTATTTTTACTAGTGATTTTTTTAGTCTTTGTTAAAGATTGCCACCAAAAATTATTTTTTTTTGTAGTGACAAGATTCCGAACATATAGGATCCTTCAAGTTATTCTTTTTATTTAAAAATATAAAATATTTTTTAAATAGTTAAATATTTAAAAATATAAAGTATTTTTAGTCTTATAAAAAATAATCATTACTTTTTTTAAAAAATATTTTTATTAAATAAATTATTTTATATTTATTTAGAGTAAAATATTTTATTAAATATGATTAAATATAAAAAAACAATTAATTTAAAAATAAATAATTATTTTATTGAGTGATGAAATTTAATTAAAAATATTTTATTTTGTTTTTTTTTTGGAAGGATGGAGTGTTTAGTAAAGGGGTAATTCAGTGATTATAAATTAATAATCATTCTCAGAACAAAGATAACATATTTAGCTGTGAACATCCTAGAAAGCAGAGTCCGTTCTGAGTCATTTTCTGCAGTCCCGAGACAAAAAAAGAATGTAAGTTGTGCCTGCGGTGAGGCGAGAAGCAGGATGCACATTTTTTGCTTAGCAACGAAGCGTAACATGGGCCAATCAACACTCGACAACTGGCTCGGGAACATTGACGTAGCACTTATCACCATCGACCTTTTCGTCCTCTTAATAACATTAACCAGAAAAGGCCAAAATCATTTTACAAGGAACCACATGGTATGTTGTGGATTCAGTTTCGGAATAAAATATGGCATGTGAGGTGTTTGGACGATGCGGATCAATGTTTAAATCACACACGTAGCCTCCCGCGTACAGCCCAATCACGGAAGTAAAAATATTAAAAGCCTAACAAAAATTGCCAGACTTACTTTCCATGAAATCATCAGGTGTACAATTTCAGTTCAACTTTTATTCTTTTTCCCACCCCACACTTGTGATCTCAAACTACAGTAACGCTTGAGAAAGATAAACCCATGTAACGATAGGAAAACAGTGGAAGCCAAACACAAGAGGGCTAAACTGGTCCCAAAAAAAAAAAAAACAACAACAGGAGGGCTAATGATGCAGCAAATCAAGAAGCAAATCATTGATGAGAGATGTTGAGATGTCCCACTCGATCTCTGAAAGTAAAATCTGCTGGAAGGGTTCAGTCTGAAAATGGAGCCACGTGCCATGTGGAGAACTCATGTCCATGTTCACGAGCTCATCCACCATGGCCTCGCGCATGCTTTTAAAACGCTTGATTTCTGAGCACAAGTCTTCTTCCCACCAAACTTGACTCTCCAGGGCCCTTCCCTTGTACCTCCCACTAAAAGCTTGCCTCATGCTTCTTCTCAACTCCATGAACTCACTCACGAAGTCAAACAAAAGATTCCTCTCCACCTTCAAGTGCTCTTCTCCATCGCTTTCTGTTCCGCTGCTCCACTTCTCCAGCATATCAAACACGTTTGTCTTTATAACCTGATCATTTCTGATTGTTTGATTATCTGCAAAATTTCCTTCCATTAACTTTTCATTGCCAAGCATATCCTTTTCATATTCCAGCTTCAAGTTCCTTGGCCTGTTATAATCTTCCAAATTTGAAAGCCCGTATGCTTGTTCCCCAGCTTGATTCATGTCAAGCATATGATCATCACTTGAAGAACAACCATGGTTATGCATACCCTGCAGTTCACCGCTAGGCGGATTAGAGTGAGATCTTCTGTCTCCTTCCCCAGATTCGATGCTAACCTCACTGGATAGTGAAACAGCAGAGGGCACCCTTGTTGCCAGAGTACATTCCTGTGAGTTGGTTCTAGATGCCAAATCTCGCGCCTTTCCGTTGAACAGGTCACTTGAAGCATCACCATCTGTCATATGTAAACCAGGAGCATTGACATCAATGCTGTTTGTATGAGTCGAAGATTGTGACGCTTTCTTCGTAGGAGATGTAAATGTGAAGGAAATAACATCCTCGCCAGTGTTCCTTTTTAATGCATCTTGATTCATGCTCCCATCATTTGTTATATTGCATTTTATGGACTTACCTTCATAGCTATTAACAACATTAACAGGTAGAGCATCCCTTTTGGGATACCTATTCCTCATGGAATTGCTGTTTGTCTTGATCAGTGAAAACTCCTTTTTGGCACCACTTGCTCTTCTGCCAGAACTGTTGGGTCTGACCTTGTCAGTTACAAAATTCTTGTTTGTCACTTTCTTTGCTCCACTTGTCGAACTTCGTATGGTTGACTTGTTGGATTCTACTATTGAAGTTGATCTGACTTTGTTGGTAACACTACTATGCATCTGCACCCCCTGCCCGAGCTCATCGTAACAGCTATTCTGGCTTGTACAAGCTCTCTGCTTCATAACCTGCCGCCAGATTGGTTTCTGGGTCCCAAAGAACTGGTTGGATGCAGCCTCAATCTGTTCTTTCTGCTTATGTCCCCTGTTACCATGTGAAGTTAATGCACCTCTGCATTGAACACGGACCTTAGCTTGTATTGCAAGTAAAGTCGATTTTCCTGTACTCCCATGACTGTAAGGACCAAACTTTTCTGAGTATCTTGAACCCTCGAAAGTATTTGCATCCACATTGTTTTCATGCATGGATGCATGATGTGCAGCTTCTGATTTCTGTTTCGAATCAAGAACTCTCATAGTTGCATTCTTGAGTCGTCTTGCTTCAATTGTCCTGTTTTCCGCTAAATGTGCCCTTGATTTCATGGGGTCAACAGCATCCTCATGACAATGAGAAGAAACAGGAGAGTTAGAGGCACGCGACGAAGTCAAAGAGAGCTTGTTGAGTGTTGAAGTTGGCAATGAATCCAAACCCATTAGTCTCGCTACTAAGCATGGTACCTTGCTCTCACATCCTATATCACTACTAACTGATAGCTCACAGTTGAAATCGCAACTCGTGATGTTGCTCGGATTTATTCCACTCTCATCTGCCTTTGTCTGAAACAAATTCAATCAATCAATGGCCAATTCTAGTATCACATCCACAAAAATGTCAAGTTTATACGAAGAAACAGTGACCTGAAAGAAGGTGAAAGAATTGCGTACCGTAGTCAACTGTGATTCTGTCATGTTCCCCATATTTTCCTTCGCTTGCTTCAATTCGTCTGTGGTTAAGGAACCAGAATATTTAGAATACTACATGCATAGCACTCTTGGAAAGGAACAGCTTGTATTTGGAACAAGATTGAATAGAAGGACAAGGCAAGCTAGGAGATTGATTAATTAACAGTATAAAGGGCAGCGCAAAATTACCGGGCAAGTTAGGAGTGTCAAGGAACAGCTTCTTTCGTGATACTCCATTACAATCAAACAAGCTGAGGAAGCTTCCCCTGGAACGTCTTTTCTCGATCTCCATTCTAATCGACGCTCCGGTTCATGTACTCGCACCCACCTAGGACCGAGACTCTCTGGTGTTAAAATTTAATGATTTTATCAATCAAGCTCTATTAATCTGCTTCTCAGGTACCTCTGTTTCTCCACGAAGATAGTCACGCTGATGAAAGAAGAGAGTGAAACAGACAGGGGGGAGGAGAAAGAAGAAAAAGAAAGCAGAGGACCAGGAAGAGGGCGTATTTCTGGGGCTAGGAATAAAAGTGAAGTCAAAGAGATAGAATAACGGAATAAGGCGTGAGAGCGTGAAATGAGCAATAATGGTTATGTTTGTGACTGGGAAGAGAGGAAGCAATGAATTTGAGACACACTTGTGAGCATGTCCCCTCTATATTCAAGGAATCGGGCTTCTAAAGATTCAGGGGACTTCAATGCTCAAGTGTTTTCAGTTCAGTCACTAACACCAGACTTGTTACAGTGTGGGGTATTCCCAGGCTTTGAAATTGCATCCAGCTGGCATTGAATGCGACACCACTAATGCATCCATAATTTGTGATGCTTTGGCTTCATAAGAACTATTATGACGCACAATCCAATACTCTCTCAAATTACGAGTACTCCCCGTTTTCCCTCAGGGGGGGGGGGGAATTAGTTAGCCAGAAAAAAATGGTGTATGTTTATAAAAAAAATCTAAGATTATCGCTTGAACACTACGCACCTGCATTATTATTTTTTAATTAATGAAAGATTAAAAATGAAAAAAAAAAATTAATGGATTGAAATTTCGAAGTCACAATTATTTTGAATCAAAACTACAATCTTAAAATAACCATTAATTTGCAACAGGGAGTCAGACGGCACGCACAAGCAAATTGACCCAACTTTTTGGAAAGTAAAAAAAAAATAATAATAGTATTCCAACCAATCCAAATATGTGATAATTTTCCAAGGTGAAGTCACTGAGCGCAGGAAGTTAATGGAATACGTCTGCCTTGATCAGATGTTCATAGCTTCCCCGATTTGCCCGGATTATCTTTCAAAACGGATTCCATCTCGGACTTCATGTGGAAGACGATTGATTAATCAAGAACAAGTCTAAATTAATTGACACAGTGAATCGTTGTCGGTCGATGGAATTTGTGCGACCACTTTGCATGATCGCCTGTATCCGTCTCAATGTAATGAATCGTTGCAGAGAAAGAAGTGGTTATGCGGACGAATCTGATGCGTTTATAGCTTGAAGAAGCGAATCCCAGCCTTAAGAGAAGACTTGAGGCTACCGTGGGAAGCGTAAAGCTCGTATCTGGCCACTCTGAACTTTCTCTTCATCTCAGGATCCACCACGACTTTTGGTGATTACGGGATGAGATGTGGGGCTTCTTGTTGTGACGTCGTTTTGGAGGATTAAAGTCATCGGAATGGGAAGATGGAGAAGAGGTGCTGCGATTGCCAATCCACATTTTGTTGTCCTCTAACTTCCTCACATCCACGCGTAAGTTAGCATCAATTTCAGTGGGCATCGGAACGTTGTCGGACCTCGACCACCTTCATCGTGTTGCACCCTCCTCGATTTTTCTTTCTGTGGGTTATGGGCCCCGCATGAGAGAATGAAGAAACCATGCCAAATTTGGGGAATGTCGAAGGAGAGGTAGAGGCCTTTTATTGGACACTGACGATGGAGTTTATGGCACCTTTGACTTTTGGTCAACCCCATCAATTATGGCAGCTTTTGTATTATGGAGCATAAAACAACTACTTAACCCAAATAGCCGCCTTTACATTTGATTCTTTGAAAACAATCCTCTCGTCATTCAAGCGAGGAAAACTTTGGTTCCCGGTTTTTCTAAGTTGCAGGAGACGTTTATAAATAAATACTTTAACGATTATAATTTTTTTATTATGCACATCTATTAACAGTCCAATATGAAACATGATGAAAAATTTAAATTTTCATTCATCATATTATGAAATACTAGCATATTTTACAATTTTATCAGACCCAACCTCCCATTGGTAACAATTATATTGTAATTATAATTATATTATAATTTTATTTAAATCACTTATGGAGGTTAGATCTAGTATAAGGAATTAATCCCTTACAACTTAATGGATCAAGGTTTGAAGTTTCATTAGGAGATATATTCATATTTAGTACCCAACAATATTTTAAATAAAAAAAATTATTTCCAACGGGAAGATATCTATGATAACCAAAATAATAATTATGTTAAATTATTTCATATGTGATATAAAGTCTCGCGGCATCACGGAACTCCAAACCAGACCACGCACTCGTTTTCCAACTCATATGCCAAATGAGAAAGCAGGTTTCCGCCGTTCAATTCGTTGAGTAATTTGACGTATATACACAATGAAGTGTAAATTGTTAATTTTACGCTACTATTATTATTATTATTTTTTTTAACAAATGACCATCACTTCATGAAATGGTCAACAGAAAAATCTCCAACATGGAAAGCCAAGGAGTGAGGAGGCACAATGCTTGCTGGTCCTCCTTTTAATTTGTGGCATGCTGGCTAGTTTTCTTGACATTTTCCGTGTGGGTCACCTGTTATCGCAGTAAAATGATCGCAAAAAGTGGTTATGGACTTTTAGAAACAATAAATGCAAGGCGGTGGGGTGGCAGAATCAATGGTCGAGCAAAAACTGAGGGTATTGCTACTTACTATGCAAGACTTCCACTCAAATTTGTCGCCTAGAGGCTGAGACTGACAGCGAAGATGGCAGAATATGTGAATTAGTACGACAGCATCCAGGGCAGCATATTCTAGCTTCACATACGGTACAACGTCAGATTATGGAAACTCTATAATTCCACATAGATTGCAAAGCATGTGCCATTCGAAACAGGGAACTACACAGACTCAAAACTTGAAGGAATCAGCCAACATAAACTGGATAAAAACTGTTGGATATTCTGTTGGCTACCATAATTAACAATCAACACATGATAAAAACTACATTACAGGAAAAGTTTTCATGTATAATTGACATTGGAGAAATTACTTGATTTCGAGTTAATGGCCGTTGCTCCCAGTTGCTGTTTCGCCTCGTCTTGTTCAAACCAGCCCCCAATATTTTCTAATATACCAGTAATCACATTTTGTCATGAATAGCTTAAACACAGAAATTAAAAAGAAGCTTTAATCACATAATTAACTATCTACAGATGATATACCTCAGCAAGCCCAGACAAACCTCCTCGGGTTTCTTTAAAAATGTTCTGAATGTCCAGAACCTTTTCACAATGCTTGAAACATGATAATTCTCCGTACGAGTGAGCAAGCTGCTTTATATCACACACGAAGTTATACCCTGAAATCACAAAACAAATGGAAACAAGAGTTATGAGTTTCAACTTCCAATATACCTCAAACCTACTGCCCGGTGATATTTACGATAAATCTTAGCCTCATTAGCATTTTCAGTCATGTTAGAATAATCATAGAAGGTTTTATTCAGCACGAATAACTTGTTCAAATCTATTCAAAGCACTTGGCAAATTCCATCCACATATTGCATTAAACTTTTCATACCAAGTTTTAAAATTCTAGGTGACTGCAAAATGCGGGCTAGGCAGTTGTCTAAAATGTCAGGAACCTCTCCATGTAATTTTATAAGATCAAAGATAAAAACTGTCTCTTCAGTAGCAAGTTGCATGATAGAAACCTGAAACATGGAAAAAATTGTCATTTTCATTTTACAGAGAACAGAACATGCAGGCACTACAGGAATAAGAAAAACCAGAGAATCAATTCAGATTATAGTTATAGATATTGTAGTCTGTTATCCTGGCATATCAAATTTCATATATGTTAAACCAGGATCATTAGATTACCTTGTTTGGTTTGCCGCCTTTTACATAATTAGGTTTCCATTCACAATCAACTCCGATAAGTTTACATCTCTCAATATGACTTGTTGCGTCAACCAAACCTTCTACTTCATCAACCCAGATGATGCCTCCAACAAACAGTTCATCAAGATGCAAATAACGCCCATGTTTAATGCTTGTTTCAGGTACTGCAAGGGCATTAAACGTTAGTGTCCGTTATCAAAGAACGGCAAATTTTAACAAATAAATAAAATCTGAGTCCACTGGAGCTCATCATTTACGCTCGTTTACTTCCGTTGGTTCCAAGTTACAATGAACAATGGTGTACCTTTGATATCTGAAAACCCGTCTAAGGAGTACCGATCACACAATTCATCAACCTTCTCCATGTAACCAGCCTCCATTGCCAAATAAACCTTAAATACATAAAAACAAATGAAAATTTTATTATACATATAATACCGTTTACTTGCCTTGGGGCATAGGATCTATCACCGCCTCCTTTCCCACCCAAAAAAAAAAAAAGGACAACAAAGGATCAATTATTGCTCAAGAAAATTTATGACCACCCTCATAAAACCTCCCGTTTCAAAAGAATGCAAAACTAGAGGTAAGTTTCATAGAGTGCAACTGCCAAGACATCAGCTTTCCAAGGGAGGCCAATTGACAAAGACCTGATTGTATGAGATATTGATGGAGATTTGATAGTATGGGATATCAAGTCCCACGTTGAGCAATATGGTATGCTCAATGGGGTATATAAGTGGGTGGGTTCTTCCACTTCAACAACCAGCTTTTGGGGTAGGGTTCCCTATCCCACTTAAGTACCCATCAATTAGTATCAGAGCCTTGTTGTTAGCAGTTCCAAATAGGGTTACCTGATGGCTGTCGGCTTTTCATGGGGAGCCAATTGATGAAAACTTGATAGTATGAGATACCAAGTCCCACATTGAGTAGTATGGGATGTTCAATGGGGTATATAAGTAGGTGGGTTCTTCCACTTCAACGGCTAGCTTTTGGGGTAAGGTTCCCCATCCCACTTAGGTACCCTTCAGATACTAAATCCTACATTGAGTAGTATGTGATATTCAATGAAATATTTAAGTGGGTTAATTATCTCACCTCAACAGTTAGTTTTTAGGATAAGTTCCCTATACCCATCGGAATGCTTCCAGCAAAAAATTGCTGAAAATGGTCTTAACCAGACAACATCAAGGTCATGTAAACCATTAAATATTCCTTTGGATTAGTGATTAAATATTGATACAAAACTTTTGTACCATTGAAATGCTAATATTACCCACTGAATTAAGGCAATAGTAATAAAAGGATAAATTGTTTGCCCTGGTTTTGATTGTGAATAACAAGGATCTCTGGTTAATTTGGATATTATGGGAACAATTCTCAAAACCTACCTCTAACAGAAAGTACTGCTGAAAACACAATGAAGCTAGAGGAGGAAAAGGGATTGTATTAGTAAACAAGAAAACTAACAAACCAAAGTGATTAAAATTCAAGTGCGTATGAGCAAATCAGCAAATGCCATTATGATTGCAGAGGGGATGGTTTAAAAGATAAAGATCTACTACTCAACATGGTCTCCATTGATGTAATATAATGCAACTCACAGCACGGGCACATAAAGATGGTCATCATGCCAAAGAATTACTAACCAGATGTTCGACAAGCTGTCTATCATTGTTTGCTTTTGCCTCAGCCACATCCCAACATCCTTTTTCTGCTAACTTTTTCAGTGAGCTGTCAATCAATGAAGTTCATGTAAGCAAAAACTTATATGATGGAACATGCTAGCTGGATGTGGATATACTGATTTTCCAGAGACCACCAAACTACAATGAGGGCCTCTGAAAAAGAAAAGGAGTAAATATATAATTTGGTCCCTTAAAGATAATCCCTCAAAATTTGTAACTTACTACATGTTAGTCCTTCCATTGAATCAAATAATATATTTACTCTACTTCAAGGGGCTAAATCAGAATCACTCACAGCAAGTTACAAACTTTGAGAGATTACTTTGTACAAAGGAATAAATCTAAGGACTAAATGCATGCATATATTTCAGGAACCAAATTTTTTATTTACAAAAAAATAAGAAGGAAAATCCACTACATATTCACAAGTTGAAGTCAATTGCCTTTCTTCAAAACTCTGGTAAAAGTCAGGAAAATCTTGCTGTAGATTGCTTTTCTTTATAGTCTCATAGGCATCCTTTAGCATGTTCCTCCGAATGTACTTCTCAACAAGGGTGCACAACATTGGCTTCCCCATGAATATAGCCCACTTCTCTGCTGCTTTGAATTGATTATCATCAATCATGCTAAGGAGAAATGACTGCCCAGACTGGCGGATAGAGAAGCGCTCCATTAGTGTGACAGCTTTCATATACAGTTGGGACTCTACCAACTCAAAAATATACTGCCTGATGAATTCTTCCGCTGTGCCAAAACTTGAATCATTCTTTTCTTTCAAATGGCTCATGGCTCTCCGAATATTAGTTAGTTTAACATCAAAAACTTCCAGTATTTTCACAATTATATTTTTGTCATGATAAACCCGCCCCCTAACAATATCAAGGAATAGATTGGCAGCTAAGTCTTTCATCGCCAAGGAGTCCTCTGAGGTTGTTGCTACTTTATGGAAGCGGCAAAGAGCAGATATAACCAAGTGACTAAAGCCTCGACTATGATCTTCAAACAAAGGTGATATATACAGGCATTGAACAATAAAAGTTGCTGGTCCAGGTTTAGGATCATTGTGCAGCACAAGATAAACCTGATGCTGAAGGGCTCGAAACTTTGCTGTTGCCTTACATGTGCCTATGCAATGTCATTTGAAAAGAAGAAACATAAGGAATAATAAATGCCATATAGTTTGCTGCAAGAGAGCCACATCAAGTCTAATAAAATGATCCTCTATTTGACAAAGATTTCCAGGGACAATTAAAATAAAGGAAGATATTATTGATGGGCAAAAAGTTAAACTTGAAGATAATACTAGACTGTCTTTATCAAGGACTTCTTATCATGATATGAAAAAATGAAACTCTTAAGAACTGTAAGCTACAAACTTTTGAAAATATGTCCTTTCTGCTATTTTAAGCACGATCGCTTTCTGCAATTCTTTTAGCACAGGTGTCACAATTTCTCTTAAAATCACTTTTTCCACCTTTGAAAAATGAGCACTGGCTTATAAAAGAGGATAGCAAATTAATGGACACTAGGAGGATAGTGAAGGAACAAGCAAATTAATGGACACTGGCTTATAATTAAAATTGGCGACCATAGAGAGTTTTTCATCTGATGCAGATTTCAAAACACAAGGAGGATAGTGGAAGAACAGTCAAATCCTTGGAGCAATTGACCAATCAGTGTAAGTTTGGTCATTTAAGGCAAACCTCAAGAATCAGCAACAAGCACCAGAGGGACAGAATGAATCTCTCCAAGTGCAAACACTGATAAAGAATATAGAGGGAAATGAACTATCAACTATCTGAATGTGAACATTGATGTCTATCTGTTTAAAAAAAGTGGATTCAAACCACTTTAGCAAACTCTTGGCATTCATCATTTAATCATGCTTGCAGACAATCAAACAGCAAATAATAGTAGTACAAGGAGGAGAAATCATACCATAAAAATAGCATTCTTTCAGAAGGTATAAGAATACCACCGGAGAGACATGGGTTAGATCATAAAAAGCATGCGTACATAAGGTGCTCGCTTGGCAAGCATGGTCCTTTTTGTCAGGTACCTCTAACGCATTCTCCTCCAAACTCATCCTAAGAAGAAAGTAAAAGCTGCAATGAAAGCAGCCCCTTATTAAATAATTAATCCAAAGAAAGTTATGGTCCTGTATCTCATGCATCATGATTCTTATGTGGTATATTTATCATACCAACTCAGCTCCAAAAGTTTACTATCAGCATAGGCATTCCTTTGCAAATAACATTAATTGTACTCTAAGAAGTAACTAATGCATAGGATGATACAAAAACTCAGTCAGAAGTGCGTAAGTTACAAAAAGTTGGGTACTGGTATTTTTGCTTTCATAATGAAAAGTAATGTTATAGCCATTGTTGTCGGATCGTATGAGTGGTTACATGCTACTTGCTAGTATCTGATAGATTCAAACAGGTGATTGCTGCACTAACTCTCTGGAAACATGAAGCCTGAAAGTCTTCCAAACATAATCCCAGGGAAAATAGCTAAATAGGGGGGAAGTCATAGGTTATAACCTTGAAAAAAATCCATCTAAAATAAAAGCAGTCATTCGGAGAACAAAGCAGAATAGTTTAACATAAACAGAAAAACTTCAAGACAAAAAAAAGCCCCCTGATACTTATAGCACAAGTGCTGAACGAAGAGCAATTAAACCATCACTGATAGTTGATGTCGAGAATCTAATTTCTCAAGAAAAACCAGTTAAAGGGTCATCCTGAAATTCCTAGACTAGGCTGCACATACATTTTGATAAACTATCTAGCATCAAAAAACTACCAACTAATCCAAATTTTGACCGAACATCAATCAAGTAGCTTTCACAACGTAATTTTTTTTTCTCCTATCTACAAGCCTTGAACTCTTGACCTTGCTTAAGAGAATACACATACATTTTTCAGAATTCATGCCGGCACAAATATATTTTCATCTAAATTTCTCAAGAAGTAAAATTTCAAGGACCCTGCTAATCTACCTCCCCACCCAAAAAGAAAATTGGTTCTTATACTGTTTGATTCCAGTTGAATAAACCATCATGATAATTGAGATCTCCACTCATTCAGAAAACTAACCAGATTTCTCAACTATCAAAACAAATTTTAAAAAGAAACAAAATTAATTAACTTCTTTTCCTCTATTCAACAATCGAAAAGTCCATGCATTTCGAAGAACACAGTATGCCACTTCAAATAATAAGGGAGCAGGGAAACAATAAGAAGAGATGGCGAGGGAAAATTACCTAATTTAGTGATTTGGTAGAAAGCTTCACAAGTTTTTCCAATCACCCGTGTCCACTCTTCCCATCCGAGCTCTGCAATTCGGACCCGCGTGGCTCTAGGAGCGCACATTGTTATCGATCAGGTGCACACACACACACATATATATATTATAATTATAAATTTTGGATATACATAAGCAGACGAAAAGCCAGTAAAATGTTAAGAAAAATAATAATCGAAAAGTCGTAAACCCGGCTTTTTGATAGTAACAAGTGCAATTCCTAATTCAAGCAATGGCCGTTGGAGAAAGGTAGAAGCCATACCGAGTTTGCGTGTTTTGGCAGGAATAGAGACGCGACGAAAGGTAATGGAGGTTGATAATAAAATGGGCACCATGCCGGGTATGTGCTTTCGATGATTTGATCCATTGTTTTAAGCTTATAAGAACTAGGAAGCTTGCTTGAAAAAAGAAAATGAAATTTAAAAAAAAATAATATAGTAAGCCTCAGGAAAAAATAAATCAAGCGGAAAGTGGGAGGGGGGAGGCCCACCAAATATCATCCATTAATGGCAAAGGCCAAAAGTTGTTGCCATGTTGGGTCTTCGCCCGCGGCAGTGTACACTTGTGATAACGGTAAATGAGCGAGCGGTGTCTAATGTTACCGCCCATTGGTGACACGGGACACGTGTTGAATGTAAACTACCTTTGCTGGATTTTTGGGTCCACTCCAAAATCACCATTCTCATCACACGACGTGACTCCGCATTTTGTTTTCTGCTGGTATTTTTCGTAGATGGATAAGGATGGAGATCATTCGTATTTTTTTATTAAAAAAAACAATTGAAAGGGGTCTATGCCTGGGAAGCATCCTTGTCATGCTTCTGAACGGGATCATCCTTGTATTCTATTTCATGCTAATAAAACTTATTTAAAAAATATAAGAAGTTATATTAATAAAAATTAAATTTGAAGGAATAAATCGATAATTAAGATAAATTTGATATATTAAAATTTTTATTATACCTAAATTTTACCTCAATCCAAACTTTTGAAAATAGTATTATGTCTACCGCCTTAGTTCAAGAAGATAAACGGTAATCCTTGATATCAATGCTTTCATACAATCATCGGTGTCGTTCAGTAACTTAAAGTGGTAGTAAAATGACCTTGCTGTAATTTTTGTCTGTATTTAATTAAATTTAAAATTTAAATTTAATTTCATTATTCTCAGTGTCATACCAAGCAAACGCTGGTACCTTCATTCGTGCTAATTACGTTAAAATTTCTCTCCTCTTTCCCTCCAAAACCTCCCACCAAATTAGGAGATCCCCCTTCTCTCTCTCCCCTCACCTCCTTTCCCCTCACCTCAAATCAAACAAAGCTTAAAAGAATTATTTTTTTTAAATGATACTTTTCATATATATCTTTAAGAATTAAACTTTAAAATACTCCTCAGGTCTTTTTATAATTCTTATCAACCTTATCAATATCAATATCTAAAAAGTAGAAAGAATAAAAATGTATAAAATTTTAAATATACCCCTATATAATAAATTCAAAAGGTGATAATTTATTATTATTTTTATCATGAAATGTAATTTTATAAACACATATTAAATATTATTTAAAAAGTTATACCGTGAAAATCAAATAAATGTTTTAAATTATGTTCTATAAATAATATCAGAAGAGGCAATGCTTAAGAGGCTCACCCTATCATCTGTGTCATACCTACTAAGTCATTTTGCATGTCTTTTAAACCAAGGGATTCTTAAAATGCTAGTACAATGAGAATGTAAAGGCGAGGCAGGCCTTTAACCAAGATATGGAGAGGAGATTTGGAGGCCCAATTTTTTCGCATAACTGGGAATGCGCTGCTGTTTAAGCCAACGTCCAGGATGCATGCATCCGACGAGGCTTTTATCCTTTTCTTTTATTTTCTTTCCATTCGAAAAGCCAATCAAAGTTGAAAGTCATGGTGTGTTGTGTATGAATTTGTTTTTCAAAATTGGATGTTTTTTTTTTTTCTGTCTGAAAAATTGGATGTCTTGAACGTTGAAGTTTTCACCGGCATGATATTTCGGAACGCTCCCCGTACCATCATTAATTTATTATAGGAATAGATTTCAATTACGTATGAATTTCAATTTGGAAAAGTTCCCCGAAATTTCAACGACGTTTCCCTGGAAATATGTCTTAGGACAAGAAAATTACTGGCTCACCCTTCCACTTTTCGTCTTCATTGAGTCCATAAAAACAATCTGTGGACAGTGTGATTTTTAATAATTTATATATTATTATTATTATTATTATTATTATTAACTAATGTAAAATGAAGTAAAATGGAAACACTATAAAAAGATACCAAAACATAATATGTATTACAAGAACAAAGCAACTACGCTTATCAAACTTAAAGGTGATTTATAAAGAAACAACACAGCTATTATTTAAAATATTTCAAATCACGAGGTAAAGATCACGTTAACCTTCTTTTTGAGGTATAATACAACTTTCTTAGCCTTTAACATAATATGACATCCTTTCTATAAAATGTAGGGTTATCAATTAACCAATGTGATTAATACCAATTGCATTAAAATTCTAATATTCTGGCATCAACTAATGTGATTGATATCATCATCAATAATCAATCATCAATCAATATCAATATATATTAATAAATCTTGTAAATATTTTATGATTGGTCAAAATTTCTTTCATGATGTCATTGGTTAATAAATTTTAGTATAATTTTAATTCTTGTAGAAATCTTATGATTGGCCAGAATTTTTTTCATGATGTCATTGGTTAATAAACTTTAGTATAATTTTAATTCTTTCCTGCCATTAGCTCAATCAGCTTTATATATATACTTTGTTTAAGTTCAGTTTTAGTCTTCCAATTTTTTACACGAGCATCAACTCCAACCGCCATCTCCATTTATGTCCACTTCTGTTTCCCATGCCTACTCTTTCTTCATTCCAATGTAGGCTTATTTTCACAGCTCCATGGTTATTGGCTACTCCTTCCCCATGTATCTCCACGTCTCTCAATGCTCTCTTTCTTCAAGAAATATCGGGCCTCTCCCGACAGTTCAAATTTGGTGCAAAGTGAGAAAGGGAGCAAGAGAGACATATATATCTTCTTTCTTCTTCTTTACGCGGCAGAACCCTAATAAGCAACAAAGTGAGCAATTCCTCAGGGGCGTTGGTAGATGTGGGTTTGGTCTTGGCAACATATAATTGGGAGATGGGAGGTAGATTAAAGATTGAGTAGCGAAGGATGAGTATCAGGGAGGATGCATGCTACAATTGGAAACATACGAACTTTGACCCAGCAGGTTTCTACAAAGTCATTAGGCATTCAAAGTAAGTCTAGCATTTTATTTTGTTTTAATATTTATTTGATGGCAAAAAACTAACAATAATGATAATCACGTTGACGAAGCAAAGTACTGTAAGTTTCATGTTTCAATCGAGCACATGAATTTTTTTTTGTCTGGATATTGGTTGAACAGATCAGAACCAATGCATCAAGAAGACATACCAGAATTACTCCCTGAATTGAGACCATATCAAAGGTGTGCAGCTTTCTGGATGATAGAAAAAGAGAAAAAAAGAGCTAGAGGTCAGGAGGAAAGAGAGAGAAGACATTTTCATTCTCCTTTATATATTCCTATGGATTTTATTGACACAGGCTCTAAAATGTTCTTTAATCTATTTAGGTATGATTTCTTGAATAGGTTTCAAAATAACTGTGAACCTATTTATCACATAATCCAAATCTTAGTGATTTGTGTAAAATCTCACTCCACTAAACACAATTAACATTAAAACTCATGATAATCAAAAGATTAAGACATAAAGATGATTGCCAAACTTTAATCTAAATTCAAGGAATCCCAAATTTTTCATAATCACAAAGAGTTTAAAATAATAAGATATTTTATATCAAAGTAAAAATAAGTTATGGAAGCATGAGATACCTTGGAGGAGTGAAAGAAATAAAAAACAAGTGAAAAACAACACTTTTAATGTGTGACAGAGCAGTGTGCCACGGCTTGCGCACGCTGTGCCACGTTGTGTTGCTCAGCCGCTACGTGTCGTGACGTGTTGCACGAAAATTCAGCTAATCTTGCTATCATTTGATAGCAGAATCAATGAACTTTCGACGCGCCTCGATTCTCTGTCCAACGTTCGATTGACATGATTTAGGTGTCTATGGAAAACTTTTACTATGAACTAATTGGTGGCATGAGTTTCACTTCTAAAACAAAGTTACACTAAAAAGTTGGACATCCAAACACATTTCGACTACTTTTCACACTTTCACATAAAAAGAGTATTCTAAACTCTTAACGAGTGCCAAAAGTCTTTCCTAACACCTGGACCATATTCATTGGACTCAAGACTACCAGTATAATACGTCACACAATCTTAAACCATAGTACAATAGAAATTCACTCTTCAACCCCCTTTACCAAAAATAAAAAGGGACACAATTTGTCATTGCATTATATCCAAATCAATCAAAACATGTTCAAATCATTATTTTTATACTTGCACTAGCATTTTAGCCTTATAAACATATATATCTCAACATACACAAATATGCAAGGTCTAAAATACAAATCAAATATTTGCAATTAACAAAATAGAACAAGTAAGATGGCATACAACCTAAAATTAGCAAACATATACTATTACACAAATAAATCTAAACTAGAGGCATACAGTAGAAATTTGCTAATTTCTAGCCTTTTGAGCCTTCTCCCTCTCTGCACCAGAGTTAGGGCCTAAAAAGTGTTAAATAAAAGGGGTGAGTCTAACCACTTAGTAACTAAAGTAGAACCTATCCTATGCAGTTATATATCAATCATAAATCAAGTACATGCATAAGAAACCAAGTACGTAAAACATGTTTACACATATCATAACTTATTATTTCTCATTTAACAACATCTTTATCTCATATATACTAGGTGCATTATCATCATATTCTCAAATATGTGACCATGATCCATTGTTCACACAACTTGCCACAACTTAACACGTGTGACCCGTAATATATTTATTTAGGCAATAATGAACCAACCTTATTCCCTCCTTATTTTCTCAGACCAAAACCATGGGCTATAACACTGATTAAAGCTCTGTTCATGTGACTAGACTACTTAAGCTCATCAATCATGAGGTGTGATTCGGCCAAAAATCACATGACTTACTCTCGGACCATGACTTCCTCTATTCTTGAATCTCTGGGTGTCTCATACCTTAAACTATTCTCCTTATTGAATCGGTGGAGATAGTTAGGTTCTAGTCCCTTAACAAACTGTGGGACAAGATTATACCCCCGTGTACCAAAAGGCAGTTAAATACTATGTGAATTTTTTTTACTCCCAATCTCTAG